CTAATGATACTTAGGCTCTGGAAGTTCACTGATTCAGGAAGCTCATACAGTTACAAGATTCATGAGGGCTCTCTCCAAGATGATATGAACAGGAAGCAACTGGTGGTGAAGACACTGAGGGAGCCACTTTCAGACTGAGCAGGGAACTATGGGAGTTGTCCATTTTGGGGTGAACTGTCTGGTGATGCCGGTACCTCTGTGCCTACAAGTAACCCCCTACTTGTTATTAATGTACTCAATGGCTTACCAAACTATATGGGTAGAAGAGTTTCTTTGATCTATCTTTTATATCTTATCTGGTGTGGATATCTGTTCACACCTCTCCAGGAAGTCACACAAATGCCAAATGTAGCCCCATAATCTGGGGCTGTGAATACAACTGCTTAGTGGAGCTTACTAGGGCCTTCTGGCTGTTCTAGAGTAAAAACAATTAATTCAAACCTTTAACTGTTTTCTTCTAAGGCTGCTGCTCTACAAAATTAAAGAATCTAACAATATGGCCCTTCCACTAGCCAAATTCTCACTCTTACTTCAACTGTTCTATGTACAGATGCACATCCCATCTTCCCATGTAATGGTAACATGGTGCTGGAATCTTGGGTATGTATCTCTACTTTCATAAGCTACACCGCACAATTTCTCTAACTCTCAGCTTTATCCTTGAAATGTGGTTAACACTACCTGTCTCACATGCTCATTCTATGGAGTAAATGAAATAATTTACAAAAATCTCTTGGAATAGAATCCAGCACAGGGTAGATGCTCAATATGGCATTATTTTCTGCTTCAAGCTCTTTTAAATCCTTTTGAGAAATCAAGATTTAAATAATAAGCAAAGGTTTCATTTTATTTCTTCATAATTATGAAAGAAAAATTGGATCTCACAGGGAAAGGGTTGGTCTGTTTACTGTCTAAGCACAAGTGAAGTGCTAGACTCAACCCAAAAAGCCAACAGTCTTTGCTCTGGAGGCACTAGAACCTGAATAAAATGAGCTGTTGAACACAGATGGGACAGAACCTTGATGACATGGTCTTTAACTGAAGGTGGAACCAGCAAGGCTTCTACTTACCAGAAGCAAAGACCCTTCCCTTTCTGCAGTTGGCAGGAGGCAATGTGATTCATAGCCAGTGAGTATAGCTCAAGTCCTGTGAAAGCTCAGCCCAGAAGGCAAAGAAAATGAAAGCAATGCATTCCCTGGCTTCTGGCCTTCACACATGTCATGATCAGTGTGCTTTGAACCATGCTGAAAAACTGGTTTGATTTTGGAAGTGTTGGGATGGAATCCAGAACTCTGCATATTAGGCAAGTGCTCTACCACTGAGCTATAGCCCCACCTTGAAAACTGTTTTTTTTCCCTCTACTTTTTCCTTTATAAAAGTCCTATTTAAATACCAAGGAAATATTAGCTCAAAGCTTCTTACAATAGATTTTAAGAAACAAAATGAGGAATAGAAAAGGAGAAGACTGGAAGAAACGAGAGGTCAATTAAGTAGTGGTTGGTACAGGAAGGTCAGTATGGCTGAGGTTTAATGATCTTCTACACTGAAATTTGACTGCCTTTGTAGTCAGCATTAAGGTTTAAGCTGGATGTAAAAATGTCATTGAGAATAAGGTAAACTGAAAATACAAAAACCAGAGCAATTAAGTCTCTAACAAAATGTTTCTCTGTTGTCACACACACACACACAGATGTAGGTAGCAATGATTAAAACAGTTCTTCCTGACAGAAGACTTACATTCTACACCCTGCTCTACCCTGTAAAGACATGACACCCTACTCTACCCTGTAAAGACATGGCAGCCTGCTTTACCCTGTAAAGACATGGCACCCTGGATCAGCTGTGTCAGCTCATTTTGAAGGAGATGATTTTCCTGTCTAAAGGCAAAGTGGATCATCCTATGAGAAGTTAACTGGATTTTATGATGATAGGAGGGGCTTCAGAAGGAACAAAGACAAGTACTTTGTTTATTGTTTGGTTCACAATGGATTAGTGAGGGATGATCAAAGAGGTTTACTAAAGAACTGAGATAGGTTGGATTAAATACATATTTTAAGAGACCAGAATTGCCTATCTGGCCACCCTGACCATGTTTGTTAACTTTCAACATGACATGAAGCTTCCTGCATTTAATGGATAGTACCCAGAATTAGTTATTGACCTAACTAATGGGTCAATCATTACATACAAATTTAAGACAAAATACCATAAATTAATCTGAAGCTGAAAAAGTAAGGGACATCAAATTTGACACCCACTAGGAAGAAATCAGTATTTATTATTTGGCAGCCAAAGTTTAGCAGACACAATAAATTCCTACAACAAACACAGTCAATGATAATCTCACAACAGGGAACAGGATAACTAACAAGATTGTAGCCGGAGGATCCCAGGGGTGGATGTAAGTAACTCAGGACAATTTACTTTCTATGTCTGTACTATTAATACATCCTGGCTACCCACTACTGTATGCTAGGTGACTTCCTTTTGGCTTGATCTGAGGCTTTCTTGCATATATGTGATATAGATTGCAGTCTCTGTGGTTTGACCAAGAGGAATCTGAGAGAGCAGAAGAAAACCCAGCAAGAGGGTTTTCCTTGGTGAGCTAGGTCCCCTAAGCAAGGATATACTCCTGGGGCCTAGCACTTTTCAAGGTAGTTTGTAGAAAGGGAGCTCAATAAATACATGCCCCAACTTGGATACAGAAGCACTGAAATCAGTGGGTGCCAGGGCTTCCTGGTAATGAGTCCTTCATGGGGGACAGCTGTAGGCATCGACTGCGTTAATATCAGTGGAGGAAATTTTGAGGGAAGAAGTGCAGAGAGTTGATTCAATCCATAAACAGACACTGAGCCTCAATTTTATATCTCATACTATTCCAGGTGCTGAAGGGGGAAGAAAGCAAAGGCTCTGACCTTAAACTTAACAGGCAATCAGGAAGAAGCAGGGACTTCAGCAATATCAGGAATTCACAGCACAAACCTGGAATATGTGTGTGGTCTGAGCAGCAAGCACTTTATCAAGGGAATTAAGAAAATCAAGGGAGCTGGGCCTAAGCCTTTGCTTCCAGCACTTGGAGGCAGAGACAGGCAGACCTCTCTGAGTACTAGGCCAGCCTAGTCTATATAGTGAGCTCCAGGACAGCCAGGGATACACAGAGAGACCTTGTCTCAAAAAACTAAAATCAAAACCAAAACAATATTAGGGAAAGAAAAAACAAAACAACAAACAAAACCTCATCAGTATTTCATCTTAACTTGCCATAATGGATGATGAGCATTTGGCTTTCTGTCTTCAAGGCATTTAATTTCACAAATAACTCAGACTTGAATGGTAAGATCACCCACCAAAGATGAGGCAACACCACTAGTATTTTCAAGTCTTTGTCCTCAAAGGTGGCTGCCACGAGGTCCGGAAAAATCACAGTGGCTCTCGAAGTGATCAATCCAGACTACACAGCACCACTTCGGCCTCACATACAGATTCTGGGCATGAAGGCCAAGCATTCTGTGTTTAATAAGCATTTCATGTGTGCTAAACTTGGTACCCACTACATGGACAAAGGAAGTAAGTGTGAGGTTTTATCCAGAAAGGAACAAATTTATCCAGTGATATCCACATTCAGGCAAGAATAAGACAACAGAAGCAGAAAGTCTAGAACCGTTTTATGTCTGTGTCAAGTTGCGCAGGTACCTGTATATTCTGTAATGACAAGAGTCCCTCATAGTGACGCAAATCTTGCAGTGCCCTTGAAATGACTGTTTCCTGCAAGTATACAGAGAGCAAAAGGGTATGTATGTGGAGGTGAGAGGGGGAAAGATCAGCGTCTGGTGGTCCTGGGAAGAACAATGTCGCACTTCCCTCCAACTCTGTCCACCCTTCTATGTTAGGCAGTAATGGCAGAAAGTTACTCAAGACAGATGGTACAAAGTAACTACTCCACTGTCCCTTGCTTCTCCCAACAAGCCTTCCATGGCCCCCCTGACACCTCTTTAAGGTAGTTTTCTGGATCAAGGTCCATGGGGCTGCTTGGAAGAAAAGCTGCAAAGAGAGAAGCTTTGTGATTCCAGCGTAGCTTCCCTGGCTCTCACCTACAGAGCAGGGACAGAGAACAAGAAGTATTTCTAAAGGTAGCCTGTCATCAAAACCCTGGATGTGATATTGCTGTCCAGGACCAAGGCAGTTCAAGATCAGCTGGGCCCATATGCCTCCCTTTGGGGAGTTCAGCACCGAGAACAGCCAGCCACGGCTCAGGGGGAATAAAGTGTGTGAGAGGACCAGTGCAGCCATGGGATGAATATAAACTAGCAAACTTTTCAGTCGACTAAGACAAGTCCCGCAGCTGGTGCGGTGAGATGGAGAAGGGGCCCGTGAACTGGCTGTTTGTTAGAGGTAGGAAGAAGGAAGCTGCAAGAGCAGACACTAGCCTCTAGCTACAGGGAAGTTCTGAGTCTGTCACTAGGACAGGTGAGAGCCACAAGCTAGCCGGTCTCCAGTGCCTGGCATGATCACAGGTGATAAGATCGCCCGGGAAGGGGGCGGGGTTCGCCGGGAAGGAGGGAAGGGAAAGCCAGCGAAAGGGTTCTCCAGCAATGTGAGCGGCAGGGTGTAAAGACTGGCGAAGCGGGGAAGATGGGTGTCAAGGGGCCTAGACCACTCCCCACTGGGTTCTGGGGTACCGGGAGCAGTTGGCATGGATGCAATCCGAGGGGCACAGTGCGTGTCCGCAGGCCCGAGAGGGGGGCGGAAAGAGGCGGCTGGTCAGAGGAGAAGCCTGGAGCACCACCCGTCTCCGGCTCCGGCGGCGGGGAGGTGACAGGACCACAACGCCCAGGCCGTGGGGACCCCGCCGCCGCCGCCGCCCCTTCCCTAGGCAGCCGCTATCCCCGGGCGCCGGGGGGGCGGGGTCTACAGCCCCTCCCCACGCTCCTGCCCCGCCCGGCTCACACTCCCCACCCGCTGCGGTGCCCGTTCGCCGGCCAGGTCCCCCGGACACTCACGTCTCCCGCGGCTCCAGCGGCTCCTCCCCTGCCCGGTGCTCCCCCACCCACTCCCGGCCGAAAGAGCTGATCGGGATCCGAGTCGCGCGGGGCCCAGCGGGTCGGAACACGTGGGGCCTCCGCGCCCGGAAGCGGAAGCGTCCGCTCGCCCCGCCTCCGAGCCCGTGCTGGAGCCGGTCTAGGCAGTGGGAGGGTTGGCCGGCTCGGTGTGTTTCTGTGGGTTGAGGCCCTGGGGCTCCAGAGAGACCCATGTGGGAAAAGCCTTCCCTGGACCGCTGCCCTCTGTGCCCAGTCCCTTTTGCTACAACTCAATCGACTCCCTGGGTCTGGGATTCATGGCTTACCTCCTACAGGGTTTTGTTTTCATCTTTCATGTTGGTTTTGGTATCTACACCTCCACGAGGGACCCCGCCCCCTCCTTCCCACGCAGTTTTGTTGTGCTCCAAGCGTGGAAGAATAGAAAGGAAAGCGTTGAGTCCGAATGCTGGCTCTTGCGTGCGCACTCAGCTGTTGCTGCGCTGTCAGCCCGTCTGCCTGTCAACTCTGACCATCTTGTGAAAAGGGCAGACTAAAACTGTTGTTGGTCTTAGGACTAAAAACTGGAATGTCGTTGGGAGCTCAGTAAGAAGATGGTGGTGTTCTCTGTTTGCCTTCGTGTGTTATTTTGGTGCCTCTTTGCTTTGCGACTGTCTTCCCTGATCCGAGTTGTTCACTTTTGTCTGTGCCAACAGATATTTCTGCGGTCAGTTATGCCCTGTAAGTCCCACGGTGACATGGGCAGGCCTTCTCTTCTCAACCATGTCTTGAAAACCATTTCAGTCCATGGGACACATGGCTGTAGGCGGCTTAACATACTTTGAACTGGAGATGTTCATCACTTTTGATGGAGAGGCGGTTAGGGTTCTGCAGAGGGGGAAAATTGATGTCACAGTACCCTTGAATGGAATTTGCCTCTGGCCTGGTGGCCTGGGTGGAGACCTAACACCTGACTAAGAGGTCACCCCTCCAGAATGCAGGTTCACCTAATACCACAGTAAAAGAGTGGAGGAAGTCATCCCTTTAATGAGATAATGTACTTTTTTTTTTTTTCCCTCTCAGAAACCTGATCTGTTCAGGCAGAGCCACTTCGAGGGCTTTGCAGGTCTGTCTGCCCTTCTGAGTCCTGACTCAGGTTTAATTGTTCCCTTCTCTTCTTTATCTCTTTCTTAGAGCACTGGCCAAAGTCTAAGTATGCTTTTTCTGTTGTTACTTTGAGCCTTTCCCATTCTTTTCTGAAGTACCCCTCCCTCCCCTGCCCCATGTGATTGCTGCTTACAATTGACCCCTTTCCTCTCTTCTTGTCCACCTTCCTTCTCTAGGCAGGTGCTGAAATATACAACTTGCATGCTCTGGGGGTTTCTTTTTAAAGTCTAATAAAATTGTTGTTGAGCTTTCTTCTTAGTCCATTCTTAAATTCTATTGTTAGAGAGACTAAGCGCCCTGAGAGGGGTACCAACTAATGGAGATTTAGTATGAGAATTTGCTCTTGCAATTATGGAGGCTGAGACAGTGCAGGATCTGTGTTGCCTGCAGAATGGGGAACTGAAAAAATGTAATTCAGCCTGAGAACAGGTGGGTGAAGCAGGGTGTTGCTGTGGACCGTGGCATCAGCAGGTGCAAGAATCAGGTGCTCTGCTATATCAGGATGAAATGGCTGTCTTGGCTCAAAAGAAAGAGTATTTTTGCATTTTTCTTCTATTCAGTCCTCCACAGATTGACTGAGGCCCACTGATTCAAGTGCTAATGTCTTCCACACTCACATGCATGGTAAGTGTGTGTAAGGGACACACAGATTCCTTCCCAGTTATTTGGGCATCTCTTGGCCTGTTGAACCAGACACAGACTTTTTCTCTATCTATCACATTTGCTCTTTTCTTCTCTTCCCTTTTTCACTGCTATTTTATTCTTTAAAGACTGTTAAACACGACTCTATTTTCTTATTTCAAGACAATTTCAACTATTCTCTAAATGGCCTTGGGTAAAATTCATGGGATTAAGCTCACACGTTACTTTCAAATGACCATTTGTTTGCCTTGATTATTTCCAATGAGGCTGATTCTCTTAGAGAAAATTAGGCATAGCGATTGAGATAATAACATTGAGATAATAATGTCTTTAAAAATATGAGTCTGAATGGGCTTTAAATGGTAGTTTTCACTGTTGGGAAAAGGGCATATGTAATAGTCACTACCACAAACTGACTCTCCTGTGTCACCATGACAGATATGTTGCCCAAGTGTGTGTTTGCCTGTAGGGACTCACATGCTAAATGTGCAGGCGAGCCTTCAAAGTCATGACCTTCATAGAACCAGGAGGGGAATTTTCCGATAAGGCCCCCAGGTATGTTATCTCCGGGACATCTTTTGTTTGTGCCTGATCTACTGAGACTCAATTCTAGAAATTGGAACAATCCATGAAATAGAAATCAGAACTTTTTACAAGATGCTCTCAATTTTCTCTACTACCCGGGAATGAGTCCCTTTAGGCTTACCTAAAATTATGTATTATGTCAAGGTGGAGGGGCCTTATTAACATGTGATCAAATAGAAGGCAGGTTCCTTTTAGACGTTTTTGAAAGACCATCCATCAGCATTAATAAAGAGACTCCAGTGTGTTTCTCTTATGGTAAAGCAATAGGCCTGGGAAAATGAGGTGTGGGATGCCTTGTGCTTGGGACAAGATACAGTTATTGATAGAGTGCCTCAGCAGTAAACAGGATTCCTATGAGATTACAGATGACTTTGCTCAGCCTTATGAGTCAGCACAGAAAGGAATGCTTGTACAGACCGTCTCCCAAGATAGCGTCTCTCCCTTGGGCCAACACTTTCAGGAAGAAGAGATATGTAGCCCCCTACAGCTGTAACAATTTCCTCATTCCCAAGCCCCTTACTCAGACCCTCTAAAGGGTCGAAGCCAGCTTTTTTTCCTTGGCAAACCCCTCAGTTTCCTCGGAAGAGAGGCTGCCTCTCACTGTGTGCACTAATACGTACAGCCCTGTCTCTTGAAGGTCGGACTCCTGTCTCTTTCCTGACTTCTGTCTCTTTAGGCTGCCTCAGAAATCTAACTTATTAATAAAAGAGGGAAACAGGATTCTTCACACACCTTTAAACTCACTGACATTTGTTTCTGACTTTGCTCTTTTCACTTTAGCTTGTAATTAAGAAAGTCCTGAGTTCTGCCTCATGCATCTTAGGAAATCAGAAGACATTTTTTTTTTTTAATGAAAAATTAGGTGACTTGTTCCCTTTAAGAAGAAATCCCAGTTCATTTATATATACCAAATATAAGTTCAGTTTACATAATTTAATGGAGATCCTAACCATCATATCTCTTTCTCGGGATAACACTGTACTAAAGCATCTGGCATGTAGGGGGAGATTTTATCAAACTTTTCTACAAGTTTGCCTCATTATCAGTCCTTGTATTAAAGTCTGCATTAGGCTCCTTTTGATGTACTGCAGGTTTCACTTTGCAAGATGAGCTTTTGGACAAGTCATGGCTTTTCCTAGGGCCCCTTTCACCTCCTTGTTTCTAATGGTGTAAATAAACGGGTTAAGAAGCGGGGTAAGGATGGTATTTAGCACGGACACCACCTTATTAATCTTAAAGGAGGAGTGTGCTGTGGGTCTCAGGTACATGAACAAGACAGCTCCGTAGAGCAGAGAGACAACCGTCAGGTGAGAGGCACAGGTAGAGAAAGCCTTTTGGCGGCCGGTGGCTGAAGGAATCCGCAGGATGGTGGATAAGATGTAGATGTAAGAAATGACGGTAAAGAGGAGTGATCCCGGGATCACAAGGATGGTTGCCAGGAGACCCAGTATTTCCAAAATGCTGGTATCAGCACAAGCAGCTTTCAGGATGGGACCCACGTCACAGTAGAAATGGTTGATAACATTGTTGCCACAGAACGGCAACTGTACAAGCAGCATTGTCTGACAGAAGACGATGGTGAAGCCGGCTAGCCAGGAGCTGAGGGCCAGCTGCATGCAGAGATTGCTGGTCATAATGGTGGGGTAACGGAGGGGCTTGCAGATGGCCAGGTAGCGGTCAAAAGACATGGTGCCTAGAATCAAGAACTCGGTGGTACCCAGGAAGAAGTGGAAGAACGCCTGCAGCAGGCAGCAGGCGGTGCAGATGACTGTTTTTGGTACCACAAAGGTTTCCAGGAGTTTTGGGATGACAGTGGTGGTATACCAGATCTCTAGGAAGGCTAAGTTGCAGAGGAAGAAGTACATTGGAGTTTGAAGCCTGGGCTCAACCCAGACAATGAAAATAATGAGTCCATTGCCTGAAAGGGTTAATATGTAGATGAGAAAGATCACTATGAAGAGAAGGGCTTGTAAGCCTTGGATGTCTGGGAAGCCTAGGAGGATGAACTCTGTGATTGCAGTGCCATTTCTCATGTCCTTTGATCTCCTAAGAAGACAGCAATGATGGAGTTCTTAGAATCATATAATAATAATAATAATAATAATAATAATAATAATAAATTTTAGTGGAGAGTTATTGGCTCTTTACTGTTTCCTATTATAGCTTAACATTTTAGATGCATCTCTTATGAAGAACAGAAAATTGGGCTTTTTTTACCCTTATATACCTATGAAAATAGTAATTATAAATGTAATAGCTTATCTGTCAATAAACCATATAATAACTTAAAGTGAATAGTGCATGATGTATATAATGAAGCTTACATATAAGCACAGCTGAGTTCATGAGAAATTAATCCTTATACTCACATTATATTCTGAAAGAAAAGTATTTTTTGGTGCTGAGGTTTGAACCCCGGGCCTGGTAATGTTAGACAAGTGCTCTACCCCTGTGCTATTTTCCCAGCACAGACTCTATAGTAGAGTACAGATATAGTGAAGGAAGCCCATGCTATGTGTGTTTATAAAAGTAACTAAAAACTGTTGCTATTATATAGGTGGATGGAATACAAATTAAAGAAAATGTCTTAAAATTTATTTTTTTCTAATTTTATTTTATTTTTATTTATTTATTTTTGTTGAGAGGAGAGAAATAGATTGCCACACAGTCTCTTAGCCTCGGCTAACTCAGACTTCAT